TTTCATGAAAATAATTCAGCTGGTTGATCTAACGAGTTTAGGAAAAATACATTGTTTTGGTTGTAGATATCACAGAATGGTTTAGGTTGGAAGGGACCTCTGGAGAGATCATCTAGTCCAACCTCCCTGCTCAAGCAGGGTCCTCTAGAGCATATTTCCCAGGATCACATCCAGACGGGTTTTGAATATCTCCAGGGAAGGAGACTCCACTACCTCTCTGGGCAACCTGTTCCAATGCTCTGTCACCCTCACAGTCAAGAAGTTTTTTCTCAGGTTTAGATGGAACTTCCTGTGGTTCAGTTTCTGCCCATAATAGTTTCTGCCCCCTATATGACCCATATAGTTCATTTATTTTTAGTTTACTTTGAAAAAATCTCCTGAAAATAAACGTACACAAAGAGCTATGTTAAAAGAATTCTAATGTTGCAAAATTAACCTTGCATTTATACCTGATGAGCTAGCTGCCCTATGTAAAAGAATTTTTTCCATTTGTCAGGTAATTAATGACTGTACCGTAATGCACAAACAGAACGGGTTGATAGCCTTTAAATGCTCAATGTTCCTTCAAATAGATTTTTTTGTGGGTGTAATCTTTTCAAAGAAGCTATATGTGGAAAGTAGAACGGAGCTCATGGTGATAAGAATTCTTAATCATTAACACTGATTGATTTGACAGCGGGATGACATTAGTAACAAAACACAAGAAATAAGGGCATAGAAACTTTGGAGTTTTTCAGAATGGAAAAAAAAAAGCTTAAAACAGAGTAGTATGATGTAAGAATAGTGATTATCCTTTTTGCTAATGTGAGGAGTCAGCTAGATTTGGGAGACTGGGTTGTTTGTGTGTCGGGGGGAAACTGAGCACAGAATCGAGTGTATTTTGATACAATAATGCTTGCAGGAGCAGTAAAGGACAATGTCTTTACGTTTTGATTCGAGCCCAGTCAGGCTTGAGCTCAAACGCTCTCGCAGTTAGCTTTTCTCAAAACTGTGTTCCCAGCACTTCTTAGTGGTAATATTGTCCAAACCCTACCAGTAATCTTTTTTTCCTTGCCATTCTGGATTCAAAATCTTATTCTTACAGCTCACATTTGGGCATTATTAAGTTCTTCTAGAGGCTGATAGTTTTACATTGTGGCTATTATCTGAGGAACTAAAAAAAACCCAACCAGTCTAAATTGAATTTTTAACTGGAATGTATTGGCTGGCTCTCCTGCTTTAAATCTCTTCTCAAAACTTGGCTCTTCAGCCAGCATTCCCTTGGTAATCTCCATTCTTATGTTACTCGAGGAAATTGACTGCTTTTGATCATACTCGATTGTTAAACAAAAGGTCAAATAAACAAAAAGCCTCAGACATCCCCAGAAGTTAACCTAAGGTGACAAGCTGAATGATCAAAGTACTAAACTCTTGTGTGCTTAAAAAAAGAAGGAATGTTCTATCACTTTCTCCGCTTTGCACTTGCATTATCACTTCATTTTCTACCCTTAGGGCCTGATTCACTTAACGGTGGCTGTCTAAAAGATAGTCCGTAGTGTAAAGCTAGATATTTCGCTCTCGTATCAGTGGAGAGAGAGAGGCGTCATCAAAGAGTGATTCATCCTGTCCTAAGACAAGTGAAATCATCTTTCTCTTTTCATTGACTGTAGAGGGCACTTAAAACTAGTTTAGGCTAGATACCTAGTTTTTAGATTGCTAAAATTAGGTGAGCTGAATCTCATCGCTAGTGTTGAGGTGAATTATTTGGAGAAGCTTCTAATGGTTTTGAGTTAGAAATCTTAATTTCTGAGGTGCATCATGATTAGCAATGGTGGCAAAGACTTGAGGATAGTCTATGCCATATTTTACATGATCTTGTATATTGTTTCATTCAGGAACTTCAAACATTTTAAAGTGAAGGATATTAACGTTATGCAGATGTGAGCTAAACTGTTACCCAAGTGAAAATTTACTCTTCTTCCACAACTCCTGTGACAGAAGGGGTCTCAAAACTAACAAGGAGCAGGAGATGCAGGCTTCTTCATGCAAGCTGCAAAAGGAAGACCTAGGTGGAAATTATATCTGTTTGTGGAGGGGAAAAAAAAAAAAGAAGCTTTTCTAAGTCATGCAATATGGTGATGTTATAAGTAATATTTCTTCTTTAAAATTAGAGTAAATTGTGGATTAAATGTGAGATTCATAAAGGCAGCATACAGGTTAGGTGGGTTTTAGGCACCTAGAGAATGAGCCGTGAAAGCTAACTGTGTAGTCGCTTGAGAGTTTATGGTTGTCTAAACCTTCATTAGAAAAAATTCCAGCAAATAAAGTTCCATAAAAACTTTCCATAAAGTTTTATTGCTGATTTTTCTCCCAGGTGCCACCGTCTCGGTTAAAATGAGTATGAATATACCCTGATCACAGGTCCAACTGAGATGAGTAAGGTGAGTATCCCAACTCTCATGTCCATTGAAAGGCCTTGTTTGGTAGGATCTTCCGAGCAGACCTAATTCACGGGATTAGCGCTATGTCCAAGGCAAAGCAGTGCAGCTTTATAGAGATGCACTTAAGGAAATGTAGCAGAGGTAAATTAAATGGCGACAAGAGCAGAAAGTGTCTTCAACTTTTCTTTCCGTTCCCTGCCCAAAACCTTTCCAACCCAGAAAATAATATAAGGTTCTTAATTTTTGAGTGCCTCTGTTGTCCACTCTTCTCTACCTTTTAAACTGCAGCCGGTTTGCTGCAGAGGTCTTTCAATATTTCTGTTCTAGGGAATATTCTTAGCTTTTAAAGACTGCTAAATGAAAATAATGGTATAAACTTGCAGTCAGTCACATAGGGGAGTATGATGTGGCTGATGGAAAACTACAGCAAAGGCTGATAAAAGGGTATGTTTTCGTTTGAGGAAGGACATCTTGTCTTCTGATTGGGAAACTGTTGCTTTGGTAGGGTAGCAGTTAATCCTATGCCTGTGGTATGGCGTAGTCATAACATGCCGAGCTTTTGAACTTCATCTGCTGTGTTGGTCACATTCCTTCTGCTTGGAGTGTGGGGTTTGGCATGTCTCAGCCAAGCCTCCCTGCCTCCCTTTTTGTCAGCATTGACCGGATGCCTTCACGCACACCACTGGTGCTAGGGGCATTTTGGTGAAAGGACGCTTGAAATGTTTGAGAAGTTTATTTCATAACACATGCCTGCATCGGGGCACCGCCAAAGCAACTAACTGCAGGTTTTTATAATACGCTGCCTGGAGTCACCATGATGTTACACTGCTGAGACTGCACTGAACAGCAAGTTCCTATGTTGTTATCATCCACACCAACGTAGCTCAAGGCCTAAAATGTCGCATTTGAAACATAGCAAATTGGACATCTCAGGTATTCTCCCATAAATGCTTGTTTATAAGAGAATCTATTTCAGTGGAATTCCCCATTGTTTTGTCAATTAGAGTATAAAAGAGATGAGGAAAAAAAAAAGATTGTAAAGCTTGAGACAAGTATGGTTTGTACAGGTTGATAGAGACCCAAGGGAAGCATTTTTTCCATGACTCTTCTCTAAAGCCTAACACAGAGACATGCTTGGAAAGATCTTATGTCATATTGATAGAATAAATTATTGTAGTAAAAACATTCTAAGAGGTTCAGTTTGCAGTATCAGAACTGCCAGGGAGGACTTTGATTTGTTTTATTCAAGGACATAGCGTCCAAGCAAAATTTTTCATCATATTTTCCGTATGAGACCAAAGTTTAAGCAAAAGATGCAGACAAAAAGAAGGGCAGACATTTTTGCTTAAGGATCAGTGTGATTTTAATTGACTATCCACAGATTGTTATGGCATAATACAAAGCAAAAATAATAATACATACTTAACAGCAATCTATGTCTTCTAGCATAAACCACCTAATTACAAACACTTTAGAAAAATGACAGTTCACACATTTTTACATGTAGGTTTGGGTTAAGAGGGCTCACTGCAAAGGAGAAAAACGGAGATAGGTTATGTTACATTGTCATGGTGACTTCCTAAAATTCACTTCACCAGTAGCATGCTGTATTTTTGACTGCCAGTAAGTATGGATATACAAAAGAGAAAACATGTGCTTTTATTTTTATAGCAATTTTGCCTGTACATTTTAGCTGCTGTCAGGCCAATCTGAGCTTATTGCCAACAGCATGTTATTAACTCTTTCTGTTTTTTCATTCCTAGATACATAAAAGAGAGGACGTGTTGCTTTTAAAACCTTTCACCCTTAGGTTTTCTCGTACATGGGTATACACATCTGTAAGCAAATAATCTTTGGAAAAAATAGATGGAAAAACTGCAATGAGGTATGCTCTAAATGGCCACTCACATTGACACAGTACTATGCAGAAGAAATTGTATTAATTATCCAACCTGAATAGACAGCAGCATTTCCCATGTCTTCCTTGTGAATCAAAACCAAAATTATTGGACAGTCCCAAATTTGGATGATTCCTAAATATGCCGAAACAAAGCAGTTTAACTGTATAAAATCTGATGGTTACTGCATAATGCCATGGAAGTGCCTGCATTTCTGAAGGCTGGACTGAGTACTCTGTTACCGGCTTTAAATGATGGGAAGGTATGTCCTAATCGGTAACTAGCTGCACAGGAAGGAATCTGATTTTTAAATCGGATTAAAAAATCTGATCAGCTGATGCTGAGAGGATGTTGAAATTCAGCTATTAATTAGACTGTAAGTAAGAATACCATGTTTTTTGTGACTATGGTGTCATGCCTGTAACATCAGTTTTTCTGCAGCCGAAATGTTGCTATACGTGGATTCACCATTAGAACTAAGTAAATCTCATGAAAGGTAGAATCCAAGAGCGTAAAAATGTTGTTGATAATACCTGCTGTTTGATATAATACAGTGCATTCATAAGTCAAAAAATTTATCCTTCAGAGATGTTTTTATGAGGCAGAAAAAAGGCCTGGTCTACATTTGGAACGTTGACCATTATAGCAATGTTACGTAAAGGATGTGATTTAATTTATTTTATTTTTAAAACATATATACTGGCAAAAGTCCTAATGTAAATGATCTTTTACTGGCAAAAAGGTGGTGTTTTTTTTTTTTTTTTGCTGATATACCATATTTCCTTTGAGGATCTCTTTTATAAACTGTATCTACAGTGGAAAGGTGGAGCTCAGTTGATAAACGCTTTCACAAGTAGGCTTTGATATCAGATCTTTTTAAGGAAGAGGCAAAGGAATTTGTACAATATCTTCAGCCACCTAAGGTTTAAGGTAAATCTTGTCACTGGGGTTAAACCACTGGTTGACAGCTCCACATGGACGCGATTTTATCGTGTGTGCCCAGTCCCTGAACCTTTCAGCATCTGCCCTCGGGAGCCACTGCCCATCTCTTGCTTCCACTGAGAAGTAGATCTAAATTTGTAATGGTCCTTTAAAGGTGAATATGGCATATTTGGTGTTGTATTTGTTACAGCATGTAGCTCTGATTTTCATTTGAAACCTGTGCGAGTCTATCAAACTTAGATATGTTGCTAAAAGGTATTTGCTAAAAGGGCGCTGCCAACTTGATCGTTGTGTTTCCACCCAAAAAACTGGTAGCTACTTTAGTTTCAAGTAACATCTAAAATCACGAACTGGAAGAAGTTAATGATACATTTTTTGTTGCTATAAAAATGCACTTTTTACATTTAACTGATTTAACTATTATGAGTTACAGGGATTTTTGTGTTGAAAAGATATATAAATGTTCATCTGGGAACAGAAAATTTATACCTATACGATTTTGCTAAAAATTAAAATATAGTGCATACTACTTAGCTTTCTCCGAAAGTGCACTTTTTGAAAAATTGTCTCGAAGAAGTTACAAATTGCCTTCTGCATTTAAATGCATTACTTTCATCATATCTTGAAATGAGATTGGTGATATGTCCATTTTAACAGCTGAACCCTTAACCTTGCCCTGGAGGAATTACTTGGAAAAAAATATGAGTAGTTTCACCTTCAGCTCCGCTCATTTTGTAGTTTTTCTGAAAATGCGGACATAGTGTCTCTTCTTTCTTAAAAATCAAAGCAGACAAAAAAACCCCACATTCTTCTGGTGTGGTTATTAGTCAGGATCAAGAAATAGTCTATTTCTTTAGGTCCCAAGACTAACTGTAATCTGGATTTCTTGTCTTCCATGTGCACGTGCTCCATATCAGCACTATTTTCCCGACTGGTATGTTGTGAACATTTTTCACTGAAGTGTTTAGCTAGTACAGATGCAAAAAAGGTTTCTAGGATTGTACTCTTAAACATCTAGTAAATGTTCTACCAAATTCATTCACTATATGATTTTAAAATTCCCTTTCAGTGTCCAGAATTATGCAGTGTATTGCGTACTTTTGTGAAAAGCATAGCAGATGACTTCTATCTAAAGGCACAAAACCAGGCACAAAAGAAAATCTAGGTTTAAGTACTATCAGTGGGAGACAGTGAACTCACATGCTTTGTATTAGAAGGAGATTTGTGACTGTTTATTTTGAGTCTGACCTGAAATTCATTGAATTGAGGGAAGATTTTTTTCTCTTGATTTCAATGGGTTTGTGTAGTCCATCTGACAGAGCACACGTGAAACAGGCCACAGTGCTTTGCAGATCAGGTTAACACATTAACGCTTGGAAATTTCTGACTGCTGCTTCTGCCTCAAAACAGATGCCCGCTGACTGTTTGGAAATTTTAGTACAAAACGCCTTTTTGGAAGGTCTTACTTAGCATAAAACCTAAACTCCAAAAAACATTCCAAAAAATTGAAGTGCTGTTTTTTTTGCTTGTAGCATTGAATTCACATTGCCAGTAACTGGCTCAGAATGAAATTTCTAGGAAGTTGTGTGGATTGATGCTTGCTTGGTGCTTATTATTAACATGCCGGTGAGACGGAATAGGAAGCTTTAACCATCTTCAGCTGCTAGGGTCAGTGCTATGGATGTCGTTCTCTCTTTTCATGCAAAGGTCCATTCAGTAACTACATCCATGACTGAAGATTCATGTTTCCCACCGAGATATTTCTACCCAGGATATGGGAAAAACATACGTCAAATGGGAAGTAAAGTTAGCAGATTTGGCGCTCCTTTGTAGCATCCAGGAAAATGAAGATCTCATCTGTTAGAGCATTATTCCGTGAAGGGAAACGAAGAGAAGCTTTATGTGTTCAGAGGAAAGATCGCTAACTTGAGGAAAAGCTTTGCTTTGCCGGAATGATCTTCTGGGGGATTTCACAGCCAAATGGTGTTCATTTCAAATAGCCACAAATTGGGGTTGCCAGGTTTGGCATATTTCTTAACTGGTGAAATCTTCAGGTAATTCTTCATTTGCAGACCTTGGCAAGGGGGTTTTCCTGGGGCACGTGAGACAGTTTATGTAGGCCGGCTCTGGTGAAATCAGGAGTTTGCAATGGACCTTGCCAGATTTTCTGCTTTGCAAAATGTCTCCTCTCCTTCGCTCACAAGGATCCTCATGAGTCCAAAAAGCAAGTCGCGGAGTCCCAATATTGCATCTGCATCTCTTGGGTAACTGAGATACAACATCCTGCCTCCATATTTGCAGCATTCTCCACCTGGGGTTTTCCCAGATGTATACGATTTTTAGATGAGACCCTCATTACCCAGCGAGGGAAAGTGGGACATTTCAAACATTGAGCAGCTTGTCTCTGCAATAGGAGGTATTAATAGTGCGTGATTGTCCAGTGTCACGAAATCAGTATAAAGACGAGGTGTGAAAAGCTTTCCTGTCCATAAGGCTCCTTCTTAAAACCAGACCTTTCTGGTGGGTGTGTGCGTTGCTATGAGAAGATGCTCCTAAGAAGGTTCTGCGGAGGCTGCCATGCTGTATGGGACCCTCTTTCAAAATTATCAGAATGCCTTACAAACTGGGACAGGACAAGTTTTAAAAAAAAAAAAAAACAAACAAACAAATATGGCATTTACTCATAGGAAAGGTTCACTATGAGTTAACTTCTAAGCTGTGCTGGCGATGGATTAACTGGGGAAGCCAAGGCTGGGAGAGGTGTGTAGACTGGTGGGCACTTGATATTTATGGGAAGAAACCTAAAAAGGACAAAAAAGCACTCTTTTCCTTCCTATTTTAGTTATTCCCTGGGGTGATGGCTGTTGTAATGTCTCTGCGGAGGAAACTGGTGTGCAATTTAAAGCAAAATGTCTCCATGCTGGCCAGCAGCAAGTTAGGGGAAGGGTTTATAATTTAACCAAAAAATATATCTCTTTCTGGGCTGGTGACTAATGGACTACAGGATGCTCTTAACTTGCTAAGAGGAAATATGGTATCTATTTGCGCTACTTACAGCTCTCCACAGACCGTTATTGAAACACGACGGAACCTGTCCTGAAAAGTGCTGTTCTTGGCTTTTTTTCTTTTCTTTTTCTTTTTTTTTTCTTTTTAAGTAAAATGTTTTCAAAAAGTTTAAAGGACTTTGCATCTCTGGGACAGGGGAGGCAGCTTACAGAACCCAGCATGAGATGGCGACAAGGTCTTACACCAAAAGGTCATTTACATGGGTGACTGCCAGGCTGCGTCGCTCTCCTACTCCAGTCGTTCCGCTGCACTTCGGTTCATGACATGCTGAGAAGAAGCAGAAAGGCAAAGTTATTTTTAGGAAGCCAATTGTAACACATACTTTGTTCTTCCCCTAATATCCAAAAATATGAATGTGTTTGGGTGTAATCCTCTACAACAGTGCCTCAGGGCCAAAGCGTAAAGTCATTCATAGCTTTAGTGGGTATTTATCTTGTCTAAGGACTTCTCCCGAGCATGCAAACCATGAAGAAGTTACTGTAGGGTAATCGAAGGCAGCTCTGCAGTAACTTTCCTTGTGAAAGGGCTGGTGCCTCTTTTTTTACTCATAGGAAAGGTTCACTATGAGTTAACTTCTAAGCTGTGCTGGCAATGGATTAACTGGGGAAGCCAAGGCTGGGAGAGGTGTGTAGACTGGTGGGCACTTGATATTTATGGGAAGAAACCTAAAAAGGACAAAAAAGCACTCTTTTCCTTCCTATTTTAGTTATTCCCTGGGGTGATGGCTGTTGTAATGTCTCTGCGGAGGAAACTGGTGTGCAATTTAAAGCAAAATGTCTCCATGCTGGCCAGCAGCAAGTTAGGGGAAGGGTTTATAATTTAACCAAAAAATATATCTCTTTCTGGGCTGGTGACTAATGGACTACAGGATGCTCTTAACTTGCTAAGAGGAAATATGGTATCTATTTGCGCTACTTACAGCTCTCCACAGACCGTTATTGAAACACGACGGAACCTGTCCTGAAAAGTGCTGTTCTTGGCTTTTTTTCTTTTCTTTTTCTTTTTTTTTTCTTTTTAAGTAAAATGTTTTCAAAAAGTTTAAAGGACTTTGCATCTCTGGGACAGGGGAGGCAGCTTACAGAACCCAGCATGAGATGGCGACAAGGTCTTACACCAAAAGGTCATTTACATGGGTGACTGCCAGGCTGCGTCGCTCTCCTACTCCAGTCGTTCCGCTGCACTTCGGTTCATGACATGCTGAGAAGAAGCAGAAAGGCAAAGTTATTTTTAGGAAGCCAATTGTAACACATACTTTGTTCTTCCCCTAATATCCAAAAATATGAATGTGTTTGGGTGTAATCCTCTACAACAGTGCCTCAGGGCCAAAGCGTAAAGTCATTCATAGCTTTAGTGGGTATTTATCTTGTCTAAGGACTTCTCCCGAGCATGCAAACCATGAAGAAGTTACTGTAGGGTAATCGAAGGCAGCTCTGCAGTAACTTTCCTTGTGAAAGGGCTGGTGCCTCTTTTGTGCTAGGTGAACGGCACTGGGCTAGAGAGCTTTTGGGTCTAACCCAGTCTTGCCTTTCTGGTTTGTGTTGTGTTACACATGCAATGAAATCATCACATAGCAGAGGGAGTGCAAATGAAAAAAAATGAGGTACTAGTCAAACCTGGTTTCCTGATCCTCCGCCGGGGGCACAGGCCTGCTTGGGAGAGAACCATCAGAACAAAAAGTGAATCTCCACCACAAACTCCTCATCCTCTCTTACAGCCCTGATGTCCCATGTGTTTCTTTGCAACACATCAGATTGTGCAAATGGACCTTGGCAACTGATTAAAGCTCCTGCTGCTCTGGGAAGAGAAGAGCAGATATAACCCCTGTTCCCCCTCAGGATCTAGTTAGATAGGATAAAAAAGAGAGGCTGTGTCAAGCTGAAACAGAGCCAAACTCAGGCCAAATAAATCTGGTGTGGGATTTTGACACTGTCTTCCAAACCTCCCTAGAATTTTCTTTCCTATCTCATGTTACAGCCTCGTATCTTGCCTTTACGCACACTGAAGATGTGCCTGACAGCGGTATTTGGCCCTCTGCATTGCACCGACGTGCAAGTGCTGCAGCTGAATGTCAGGAGACCCTTCCCCAGGGGCTGTGGCTCCCTGGCCCTGCTCCATGCCCAGATGGCTTCCCTTGCTCTGCAGTGGTGGAAAGCAGGGTCTGGAGTCCGTTCACCCAGATGAGGATCGAAGCTAAGTTGCAAAACAGAAGTGGGGCTCACTGTGATCAGGAAGGTGGTGGCACAATGACCCTCCGGTGGATCGTTCTTGCCACAAAACACCATTCGAGCCTTTCTGGAAGTGAAGGTTAAATATCGAACAATAGTTACCTTTCCTTCTCAGCCATGTCTTGTTTCTCTTCTGCCCTGTAAAAACAAATTGCATTTGAAATCTGTTGGCTAGGGGTGTGAACGAGTAGGGTATCATCTAAGCAGAGCATCTGCCACCCGTGGTTTCCCCACTGCCTGGGGGTCTTTATGGAAACAGCTGGGGTCAGACAGCCAGGTTTGATGCAGAGATGACTGTATTAGGTTCTCGTCCCTGTGATACACAGGCAGCCTCGATAATCCTAGCGCTTTCAAGATGCCTCCATTGGCCCTTGAGGGAAGGAGCTGGCTAATTCGGGCTGGGTGACTTGCTTTTCCACAGCTAATGCTGGACTGAACTGAACCCTCCCCAAACGGCATTTCCCGGTCAGTTCACCAGGGCGAGGAGGCATTATTATAGCACATATCTTGTGCTAACCCAGCTGGATCTTCCTCTGTCCATGTTTTTAGCGGAGCTGACCATTATTGCTGTTTATGGCTACGCTTCTAAGGTGATGGAAAAAGAGCCATCGCTCTTCAAAATGAAACAAAGCAAACTGGGAACTAATGGGCCTCTTCACCCCACTCTAGCTGGAATAAAGTGGCTTTTAATCTGCACGCTACTTCTCGCTCTAAGGTCTCTTTGCATTATCGCATGGGGAAAATGTGACATCTTCTCACATGGAGTGATTTCTGCTTAACTTGGACAACACATACAGACTGTGCTGGTCAGGATGCGTGCGCTCATGGAGCTGAGAGGAACAGCTCTGTGGATAAATAACATTTTAATCAAGCTTCCCCCCAGCGCCATATCATCTGGGGAGCTGTCACTAGCCAGAATTAATAGGACAAAAGAGTCTTTCTCCAGCTGGAAGTTTGATCTTGGATCTATCCCAGGGATGCATCCTTAGCTGGGGGGAAAGGTGTGTTATATGCTCAGTTTAGTTTACTTGGATTTATGAACATGAAGGGATAAACTGGATAAGACAAGGGAGTTCTTTGATAATGGCTGCACAAGACTAGGCCAGGGTAAAGACTGAGATTCTAGGAAGCCTGTGACTGCTGCTACGCGTCTTTTGCCTATTTTGAGAAAGTAAGTACAAATTAAATGTAGGTTGTATGGGATATCAGGATAGGAGGAACGTGGGATTCGCTGGTTATAACACACAAATAACCACACGAGACAGCAAAAGGGCAATAGCATCATGAGAAAACAAACCCACCCTCCCTCCCCCCTAGAAGTTAATTTTACCTTTCTCTTCTGGCCTTGATTCTCTCTTCTTCATATCTGCAACAAACAGGAAACATTCTTTAAGTGTTACCAGCCAAGACTATGCGCTTTTAGTAAAATGCAGGGTTTTCTCTGAAGGTGGCAGAGACGGCAAATGAGCGCAGTGTGTAGGCCCCCACCTGGCACAATATACAGGTAAGATAAGGTTTGCCCTAAGCTCTGTGTTTTTGAGTGCCTGGTTCTTCACTCAACACACTCTCCTGCCCTACAGGATTTTTCCTCCAGGCCTCTTGAGACCTGTCTGTGCCCCAGGGTCCCTGCGATACTTACTGTAAGACACAGTCTGGGATCTGCACATGCTCCATCGGGATGAGTTGCTCCAATTCCTCCAAGCTGTGAACGTACTGGATCTTATTGATAAACTTCACGCTGTCAGAGAAAGAGAAAGAGCGTGTGCTTGAGGGCTTATTTTGTTTTTCTCTCCATAGGAAGGCAGTGAGAATTTTCCCAATGATTCCCACTGGGACGTGATGTCAATGTCAGCAGAGACCAAAGCTGAGGGCGTTGGATAGGGTCTGAACAGAGAGGGCAAAACTTCGCTTTACTTGATGAGCAGTTTTCTGTACCCTCTGTGGTTTATATGTAGCCATTTCCTCCCAGTGCTAATAGGCTGAGGACTAAAAAGTGTGGGATGTCACGTCACTGAACACCACCTTGCTTCAACCCTGCTTCTCGCTATGGGTAGTACGTCCTACTGGGAGGGCTGAGGACTACCCAGGGAACCTGGTCTCTTGTAGTCTTTACACTTCACCTACTGGGACAAAGTTTGATCTGGATCCAGATCAGCAAAATATCTCCTGCTAAAACCGTCTCTGGAGTTGTCCTTGTAATTATCAGGCAGATGTGGGACAAATGACAAACAGTCTCACCTTGGTCACTACGAGTTAAAGGTTAGCTTAAGACCTGATTCATGAGGTTAAATTTTCATTGCAAACCCAGCTGAGTTTGGGAGCGTGTCGTATTTACCTGATGAAGGGCCTGGATATGGCCAGCACTGTCCGGATGAACCATGATGGATGCACGATTATCAACGCTTTGAGGTTTTTGCGCAGTCTGTGGAAAAGCCATGTGATAGAAAGTCAGACTTGGACCACCTTCTCCTGAACTCACCTGTGCTCTGTCAGGTGGTCCCTGAGGGTGCTAACAGGAGTTAATGGCCCTGACCAGCCTCACCTGGGGTCTCCACCCAAAACCTCTGCCCATGGGCCAGGAGCCCTATTTAAGCTCAGGCCTGGTTTGTTGTAAGAGTGCTGGTCTCCAGCTTAGCCATAATCATGCATGTACCTGGCTATGGCCTCTGTTGAGCTGGACCTTGGCTTGCAGCCTGATTTCCCAGTTTGACCTCGGATGTGCCTCATTGCTGTGGACCTGCTTGTCAATCCCTGGGCTGTGTTTGACCGTGGTTACCCTCACTGGACCTCACCCTGACCTGCAGGTTGATGTCCTGGCTTGACCTCAGACGTGCCCCATGAGCACAAGGTTGCCTGATGATCTGGGCTCCTGGTTGAATCTGGCTATCGTCTCTGGGTCTGCCCTGCTTGCCTTGTTTGGGTACTGTGTTAGTCTGGCCTCTGTGAAGGACCTCATGAGGGAAGCAAGGAGAAGAAGAGGGGGAGGAGGAAATGTCAGCCTGAAGTAGAGGAAGTCAGGAAGCTGTGATGGAAGAAGAAACTATAGAGTACAGGGAACAAGGAAGGAGGGCTTGTGGGGGAAGGCTGTGAGGAAGCAGTGGAAGAGATGTGAAAAAAGGATGGGGGGAACATGGAGAGGTAACACTGATAGGATCTCACCTTCTGTCTATCATCTGATAGCATTTCTTCAGCCAGCTGAGGCCTGGCATTCTCCTCCGGGGTGTTGCTCCATTTAGGTACACAATCATGTAGTCCTCAGCCACCAGCAGCTCCAAGCTACTGATCACGTATCTGTTGGGTGGTGTTCAGAAGCAACAGTGACATGAAACTCAGAAAAGGTCCCTTGGAGTTTCTCAGGTGCTTATGGGTCATCCCCAAAAGACTAGCTCTTTTTTTTTTTGTAGACCTTGGATTATGTTTCAGGCTCTCTTGGCATCTCTGCAGGATGCTTAGGGGGATTTCTCAGGGGCTGCCCACAGTTATTAGCACCATACATTGGTGGACATCCCTGCACCATTCTGCCTAGTGGTAGTATCTAGAAATGGTTCAGTATTGTGTGCATATGTTCTAGGCTGGTTATAAGTCCATCACTGGTATAATTAACACTAAATGTTTGAATGCTTTGACTTATTGGACTCAGATGCAAATGCTGTGGACAGTGGCTTGGCCAGTGATGTTCTGTCCAGTCTGCAGCTGTATGCTAGACACGTTTGGCCTGGATTCAACTGTTTTCCAGCTGAGGCTCCCTATGCAATGAATACATGGAAAGTGGCTCCCCAGAGCCTAGGTTATCTTCCTTGCCCTCCTCTCCTTTACAGGACTTGACTAGTGACTTACAAGAAGAGATTCTCCATGATGTAGTGGTAATCAGCCAGGTTACTGTCTGGGAGGTAGCAGGCAGCAAAGACGATGATGGCATTGAGACCTTCTCCATAGTAGCCTAGGAAAGAAAGATACGGACAGCAAGGAGAAATAACAGAAAAGGTGCATTTTTAAATTTGAGCCTGTGCTGCTTTCTGTGCCTCTGTTCCAGCCCTAAGTAAATACTTGTCCCTATGCAGACCTATTTCACACAGAATTATGGAAAGGTGGAGATGCAGTTGTCGTAGTGCTTGATGCCTTGTAGTTTGGCTCATACCCACTGGAGGTGGATTCAGGAGACAGCGATATTAGCTAGAAAATGTCAAGTAATAGTCTGCTCAGATGGGGGGAGAGAGGGGGAACACGAGAACCTTTTGCCTAATTTGCTACCGAGCTTTGTTTTGGTCTCAGACAGGAATGCAGAGAGATCTGCCCCTGATTCTGTTTTTGGCTACAACATGCATATGGGGTTCAGGGAAGGAACACCTGAATGTCAAAGCACAGAGTTAAGAGCTATGCTCTGGGTCACTGTTTGGCTTTGCTCAAATCTCAGAAAGAGCTGCTAGCTTTGGACACCGTGGTCTTTGGATTTCCATCCAGATGCACTGAGCTACAGAGTGATTAAGCACTTGAACATGGGCTGTGGTCCCTGCAACCAGGGGAGAGAGTCAGGGTATATTCATACCCAGGGCCACAGCTGCCTGTTTACTGCTTTTATTTATTGAAACATTGCTACGACATCCATAGGCTTTTTAAGCATGAGCAGGTTGCTTCTGAGCTTGTCTGCCACTTGGTGGTACCAGAGGAATAGCTGTTTTTCCCTGAGAACAGCCCAAACAATCAGTCATTGCATCCCCTCCAGCTTGACAAGGATCTACTGAAAAAAAATATCCACCAGGCCAGGATTTGGCCTCCCTCTCCCTCACCTCCATGCGTCACCACTCTCATGTAAGGTTTAATCATCTGCAGGTCGATGCGGTGTTCCTGCTCCCCAATGATGACAGTTCTCCAGAGCCGTCCGTTGGTAGCACTCCCGTCTTCTGCCCCACCGTCCCCAAACAGGTCCGCGCTGTCCCCAGGCATGTTCTTGGCTGTGGCTACGGGAGTGTCATCTGGAGAAGGCAATGAGAAAGTGCTGGTGGATGACTCCATGGGACCGGAGAGAGCCATCTCATGCCTATGGGTCTGGCTCTGAATGCAGCATATCAAGTGTGGATCAGTTGGGGTAAAACACTTCTGCTATTAATACAATGTCAGAAGAGGCTCTGCAAGATCCCCTGTGTGCACAAGAGATGGCAACAGCCACAGGCTGAGGATGGGCTGTGTCACCTCCAGCTTTGATCTGTGTAAGTTTGTGGTTCTAACTAATCTTGCTCCACTGTCAAATTGCAATAGAAATAATCTTAACGCCTCACATCGTTGCTTGTAATACTTGCGATCACAAAAGGCTCATCGGTGCCTTTGCAAACCATGTGCATTCAGTTCCCTCTGGGGCTTTCACAGCAACGGTACCCAGAAATTTGGGAGGGGAAACAAGGACCACAGTATGCAATCAAGCTCTGAGCAATGGTCTTTTACCTTCCCATTCTAGTTCGTTCCCGTTCCCCAGGAATTCGAGGGAATCTGTCTCATCAGGGGTTTCAATATCATCAACGTTAATGTCCAGGTCATCTGGCGTGTCCAAGAAGTCATCGGAGAGAATGGAGCCCTCGCTCTGGTCCAGGGAAATGTTGATTTCGGGTGCAACGAGCGTCTTCCGCTTACGGTGTGCCCCATTAAAGTTTAAAGTATTTGGGGGAGCTGGAGATAAAAAGAAAACATCTGATGTGTTGTCCTTGTGCTGTGTCCTTAGTGCAAGACGTGGGGCTTTCATTAAGCATATTTCAGGCTGTGGTCCTGGAAGCTAGGGCTGGGGTCATAGCTGGGAGGTGCTAAACATGAAGAGGTAGGACTGGGTAAGAGTGCCCAACGCTCATGAGATACCTATTTCCTCCCACTACTTCTTGTGAAAGATTAGCAAATTCAAGTCTCTGCTGGTTTTCTCTGAGATTTTTGCTGAGACTCGGAGGGACCCGGCTTTTACCCGGACTGCACCCTGCCATTCCCTTAGTCTCCTTTTCCTCCAAACTCCCGATAAGCCCAGTTGATACTTACAGGATGTGTTTTCATCTTCTGTAGGGCTGCCCAGCGACTCCATTCCCGTCTCTTCTGGGAGAGGTCTGTGGACAAGCCAAGATGCAGAGGTGAAAACAGGAGAAATGATACTTAATAACAGGTGAGGCCATAGTCAGTGTTTTCAGCCCAATTCTGGAGAAAGTCTCTGTGGCACAGATGCTGGAGAGGGCTGAGGATATTGGAGCAGGTGTACAACCCCGTTTGCTCTACCCTTTTCCTTTGTCTATGAGCATCAATCTCTCTGATGGAGAACCTCAGGTGATTTGCCTGAGAGCAACCAAGCAGCGGTGCTGTCCTACCAGAGCACTTTGCAATCTCAAGTAACTTCCAAACTATCCCTGTGCATAACCCCTCCACCCCTTGCCAAATAGCATCTCATGCTGCCAAAATTCAGCCAGGGACACTGGAATAAACGCTGTCACCAAAAGACCCTTGTTAACACCCTCATTCTCTCCATATTATCCCCATTTTGTGTTCATCAGGAAAGTGAAAGGCTGTGCTGAGCTGTAGGGCTCCTGTTCGAGGCACTAGAGAGCACTTGGTGTGGCTGATGCTCTGGTGTCTGACTGTTCCCCACATGGTGTTGGCAATGCAATGGGCTGCCCAGAAAGCCCAAATTTGGCCATTCCTAGGCACCGTGGAGGGATGCTCTGACTCACAGCAGCAGCTGAGCTGACTGCAAGCAGCGTGGGTGGACAGCAAGTGGGGAACAGCCTTTGATGCACTTGCACCTCTTCTTGAGAGCACCTCCTCACCCTCTTCCCTTGGACAGGTGTGCAGCAGTGGTGGAAACAGCACTTTGCAGTGTTCACGAATTTTTTAAAGTGCATCCTGCCTTCTGTCACAGACCCCGGCTGCAGGGAAGCAAATCTTCTTCCAAAGCACTTTCTACAACCACCTCTCATTAGCTGTCTCCTTGGTCTGTAGGGACTTTGCTTTACAGCAGGCAGTGTCAAAGGCAAGGTTTAAATCTCAGGTATGATCCTAGAATCGCCGCCTCATCCTCATCTTGGCCCCCACTTGGCAAAAGCTGTTGGTGATACCCAAGCCTGTAGAGGTTTGGAAGGTGGCTCACTATGAATTAGGACCCAACTACCATGCTCAGACTCACATCTGAGAGCTGATGGCTGATCCGCTGCTCTTTTCCTTCAGCTCCACGTCAAGAGGCCAAGACTTGCAGTTTCTCATATTTGGCTGCTGCTTGGCATAAATGAGGTTAGAAATACCAATTGAATTAAAAGTTTGGCTTTCCAGCACAGGTGCTAATGCCGGGTCTTGCTACATGGCCGTCGCCCTTCAGAAGTTGGGGAGATGCTCCAGACCTGTACTGAGGGAAGTGAAGTCAGCATCTGGACCCAGTGCTGTGGTGAGTGACCCCGGCCGGTGGTGCTGAGCAGCAGGCTGCCCACCCTTAGCTGGGTGCCCTGTCCCCTTAGTCCAAGTTGGGACCTGTACTTGGCCCCTGGCATTAGCATGGAGTTGTGCAGTGTGACCAAATCCAACAAGCCCGTGATGCATTTGTGATGCCAAGTGCCTGCTTATTTGGGGCCTTCCAAGCCATTTGTTTCACCTGTTCCCTTGTTGGGGGTTGGAAGCAGGAGCTCAACCATGCTCTCTTCTGACCAGGAGAAGATGCCAGGCCTCCAGATATTAAAAAAAAAAAAAAAAAAGGGGGCGGGGAAGGGAATGTGCTAGGACAGCCCTGAGGTGAAACACAAGGGGAAAAACACCACTTTTAAGGTGGTGCTCTAAGCATTGGGATGGGGCTGTGTGAGGGGCTGGTTTGCAGCAGCCTGGGGCTGGACACAGGTCCTTGCTGGCTGAGGAGCCCAGGAGGGAGCGAGCTGGGACCGGCACCTCTGCGTGGGCCAGAGGCTGCAGCCTGGCCCTGCCCTGGCTCCTCTTGGTGCTGCTGCGACACCAGAGCCACCAGCCAAATTAAACTGTATAAATACTTAGATGAAGGGATAATCCTCTCCGAGCTGGTTGTTGTATATTTATGAGAGACCTGATCAAAGGCGCTTGGTTCTTTCTTGCTTGCATGGCCTCCGGGAAGCAACGATATTCCCGGGCAGCAGTCAGAAGGATCCCAGGGCTCTCTGCCCCTCTCCAGCCTCCCCTCTTCCTTTTTACTTTCATCTTGAATGCGGCCTGGCTGGTTACTTGTCCAGCTGGCACGACTTGGTGATACAGGAGACACAGGTGATCCAGGACCTTGGTGATAAAGGAGAAACGTCCAACTATACCCAGATCTGCGCTGCAAGGGCCACATGCCGGAGCGAGCACGCTCTCGTGGCATCACTCCGGCATTGTTGCAGGATGTGACTCACACAAACAGCTGGGCCGGGCTGTCGGCAGGAGGCTAAAGCCACCAGAAGCAGCAGGTGGGGGCGACCCTTTCCTCCCTGCTTCAGCTCTGCTTGATCCTTGTCTGGGCGCTGGCTCGGCACATTAGTGTTGCCCCTTTGCAACCTGTGAGCCCCGAGCCCGCTCTGTCGATCGGCTTCGCGGGGAGGGACGGGAATGTCCCCTTGTGTCCTTAGCAAGGAGCTGGATGCAGCTTCTCCAGCCCAGATCTGTCTGGATACGTTTTTGCGGCCAGATAGGTTAATCACAGCTAAGCAAAAATAGCTATGCAGCAAATGGTCTGTAAGAGAGCTGCTGTTCCCCGTGCAGCAGCCTCTACCCTGTTGTTGTAATGCTTCTGGGGGGAAGAGTACCTTGAAAACTATTATTTTTTAAATGCCAGCTAAATGCAGCTGGCCCTCAGTTGTTCGCCCAGTGGCTGTTTGGGCTCTGCTTTAGTTGCATCATTCCCGATTTAATCCCTCTGCAGCGGAGGGGAGGGCAGCCTGGCAGCAGGCTGGGGAGCTCGTTCCCAAGGCGCTGCCCTTCTCCCTGCCAGCCAGCCACGGTCGCATCGCTTCGCCTCTCCCCGGTTTGGTCAGGGGCAGCGATGCTGCGATACGCGGTGCCGCGGGCTCTGCCGAGGGAATGCCCCTTCGGTGGCTCAGCCGTGGCTGGGGGAAGTTTGCTGCCGGTGCGGCAAGGGTGAGATGGACCCTGCTCCTGCTCAGACACGAGTGTGGGCTCGTGTGTGGATCGCTGGGCCGTGATTCAGGTGACAGACCTGCTTTAGCCGCAGATTTTTTTAAGCAACCTTGGGCAAATCGCTTCTCTCTCTGCCTTGCTTTCCCCTCTATTCAGCTGCAAGTTCGGCAGCACGATGCTCTGGGGGCATCTCTGGGTGGCAGAGGTCCCTCAGCCCTGCTCTCAGAGCAAAGCAAAGTCCATCCTGGAAACCCCAAGGCTTAGCTGAGCCCACCTCTGGGGCTAGAGGAAGTGTGACGAGCGCAATCGGATGAGCAGGCTGCCAGGATGGCAGACAGAAGTGCTCAGATTCATCCTGCAGCTGGCGCCGGGGTGAACAGAGCTGAGCTCGCGCACCCATGCCGCGAGCAACAGGAGCCC